AACGGCATGGTCGGGCCGGGAGCCAAGATGGCGACAGAGGGTCCCCACATGCATCACCTGGTGCCGATAAAGAGGCCTCCTACGCTGAACAAGATACTGTGCTCGCTAAACTGGCTGAAGTCAGAGCGTTCCTAGCAGGGGAAATAGCTAAATTGATGGCTGTGTTGCAAGCCGATATTGGTGCCCTGGGTGAGCGTACCGCGAAACTCGAGGACCACATGGAAGCGACAATACAGGCCCACAATGAGGTAGTCGACAGAGTGAACCGCATGACAACACATGTGGTAGACATAGACCTGGCTCTGGAAGATATAGCTAACCGGTCTTGGAGAAATAACCTCCGCCTGAGAGGCTTGCCTGAAGGGACCGATGAAGACCTGCAGGGGCTCTTATTATCCATCTTCAAGCCTCTCCTTTTGCACATTCCGGAGGAGCAATGGCACATGGAGAGAGCGCATAGGGCAATGAGAACACAACGAGCCGATGCTAATACCCCGAGGGACGTTGTAATAAATTTCCTCCATTACAGAACAAAGGAGGCTCTAATGAAGAGGGGTCGAGAGGGGCCGATCCGGCATGCTGGGGCCCTGATTTCCCTTTACCAGGATTTAGCCCCTTCGACATTGCAGCGGAGGAGGGATTGGCGGCCCATAACTAGGGCGTTGAGAGGAGCAGGCCTAAAATATGCCTCGGGCTTCCCCTTCAAACTAATGGTGTTCCAAGATGGTGTCTTGACACCAGGAGGAGATACGAAACGCCTATACCAGGGCCTTGGGCTCCAGCCACCCCCGGACCTGTTTTTTTCCGGGTTTTTTTGCCCCTTTGTTCTTCTTTTTTTGTGGCCTCCTAAGGCATTCTTGAAGTCAGCCTCTTTTCTCGGGATGTAAAGGGTCTTGCCTGGGGCGGTCCCAGCTGACTTTTACCCTCCCTGGTTCATCCCGATCACATATGGCCACTGTAAATTGGCTTCCAGTGTTGCAGAGATGGCACCTTACCGTCGGGAGCTGACAATGGAGAGCGGTTAATTTTGGGACATTGATGCTCCAGGACATACACAGTTATTGCATATGTGGACGTCCCATTGATATGCTTATTGTTGGTGCTCTTTGATACCTAGGTGTCGCTATTTCCCTCCCTTCTTCCCTTTCTCTCTCCTTCCTTTCCCACTTTGGAAGTGTCTTTTAGAGCACACACGGGTCCAAGTGGATTTAGACTCCCTTGGTGTTTTGACCCTCCCCCCCCCCGACAACCCCCTCCCAAAAAAAATAGGGGAAGAAATTGGGAAAGAATAGAGAAAAATTATAAAGTATAAAAATACGTAAAATACAAAAAATTTAAAATTAAAACTAATTCATGAATAATCCCATAAAAATACAAATTCAACATAAATTTACAAAAGACAGGAAAAGGGGTAGAACGATAAATACACTGAACCGCTATTCTAGATTTACACCCCAACTCGGTACATCTACAGACCGAAATATGCACCACGTAATTTCAGACCCAATTTGCTTCCTAAGTTATTCTGTTCAGGGGTCACCTGTTGGGGGAGGTTACCACCTAAGGAATAGGGGAAAGGAATGCTGTTTCTGTGTAACTGTTCATCCACTCTGGTACGAACATGTCCGACTGGATATGATGCCAGTCAGAGGTGACAGCTGTCAAGCTGGGCTGACGATAATTAGGCACGCGCCCAGCGTTCAGGGGAGGTTTTTTTTCTGACTATTAGGGAGGGAGCCAGCGCGGAACCGGGGGCACCCCCTTCTCCCCCCCCCTCATCCCCTCGATGGGAGGGCTTATGCCTAAACAGGCAGATAACGAGATGTGTTACGAATGTATCCATATATAACAATGTTGTGGTTTTTCCATTCTATTCTTATTATTTGTTGTAATTAATAATGGGAGGGATTTCAGATTTCAGATCTTAGTTTCTAATTTTGAACCCGGATTTGGGTTCGGTATTGATTTTGAAATTTATACAAATAAAGGAACAAAATGAAAAATTACATTAAAAATGCTTATACATAAAATAAAAATGTAAAAAGAGGGGAGAAAATAAAAATAAAAAAAAATAAAGAAAAAGAGAGTAGAAAGGCACAAATAGAAAAAATACAGTGAACCACTATGCCGGGGACCCGTACCGCATGCAATATGACTAATAGATAACTTTGTCACAATTTTTTCCCTGATATGCATTGTAAGGTAATCTATTTGTTTAAATGGGGCACCTGATGGGTAAGGTACCACATGAAGGGGTGAATATATATACGCAACCGTACTCTCCCAACGGAGGGGTTCTAGTGACTTCAACACCGGATAGAGGTGATAAAGGCCAACTTAAGTGTCCCTTTACAAGGAGATCTACTCCGTATCTCAGGGAGGAAGTTTCCTTACTAGGAAGGCAAGGCCACACAAGGTGCCTTGGGATACACTGGAATATCCCTCCCCCCTACACTTGGATCTCCGTGGACCCCCCCAAACAAACAAAAAACAACAAAAGGAGAAAAAAGGCAAAGGAAACTATGTCAGAATGGTAGGGGTTGGTATAGGCTGGGGAGCAATGACGCAAGATGGTAACGAGCATATTAGGATGGTGGACGCATGTAATACACTTAACTTACCGATGACCACAGGACTGTGTGAAAGGGCCCCAGGGTGTGCTCCCTAGTGATGGGATGTAGACCACGGCACCTTAGATGGTGGAGAGACATGGCAACTTTTCGATTGTTAATATAGAGATATAGCCCTGGTATTAGGAGGGGATAGGATCAGGCCCCCACCGAATTGTTTGGGTCCGTGAAAGGCAGAGCCCCGAACTGGGATCCCATGATAGAACCAGAAATACCGAAGAGAGGGGAAAGGGAACCAATAAGTGGGGAAATACCAATACATTGATGGTCAATCCAGAGGTCAACTCAACTAAGGAGAGGCGCTAGGGTGAAGGAGCTCGGGGACCCATTATTCCTCCCAACGTTGATCGTGGCAGGGATGTTCCCCACAAAACTCTGGCAATCGGTAAGACCAGAGTTACTTTGCATTGGACAGAGTCCAGATGCTGTTTTTATTTTTCTTTGCTTTTCTTTATTTCCCTCTTTCCTTCATCTTTTATCCTATAGTCAGGATAGGCTACTTAAAGATTTCATAGCTGAAACAGGGATGGTAGATATATGGCGAGCTCACCACCCGGGTGATAAAGACTATTCATTTTACTCAGCCCCCCATTGCACGTACTCGAGGATAGACCTCTTCTTGGCTAATGCGTCGGGCATGTCTCGAACAGTGGGGTCAAAGGTGGGTAGTATTTCTTGGTCAGACCACGCAGACATGTCTATCACATTGGGCAACCTATGTGTAGCATCCCCATGGACGTGGAAACTGAACGCGTCTTTGTTACGGGACCCGGAAATAGAAGAACAGATTCGAAAAGGGATAATAGAATACTTCGACTTGAACATCACCCCTGAGGTGAACGCGAGCACGATATGGGCGGTTCACAAAGTGGTTATTAGAGGGACCCTGATCAAATTGGCCACCAGAAAGAAGAAAATGAAACATCAGAAGCTGGAGACCTTACTGGGACAACTGAGAACCCTCGAACAAAAACACCAAACTGTGCCAGATGAGGGAACCTACAGGCACTTGGAAGCAGTGAGAAGAGGCATCCGTACACTATTGCTGGATGATACGGCTAGATCCATGGTTTGGTCAAAATGGACATACTTTGAAAAGGCTAACAAGATGGACACTCTCCTGGCCAGGACGCTTCGGCCCAGGCAGGAATGGTCCCACATTACTGCCATCAGACATCCTGACGGTACGACAAAATCGAAACCCACTGAGATAGCAAGGGTCTTCTAAGATTTCTATAAAAGGGTGTACAACCACACACCGGACGGAAGACCCCATGGGGAGCATGAGGAGGATCATATACTTCAATACCTGGAAAACCTAGGGTTGACCAGATTGAGAGGAGAGGCAGTAAGTAATCTGGTGGCGGATATTTCTGAAGACGAAGTGGACAAAGCTATCTCGAGTTTGAAAGGCAACAAAGCACCAGGGCCGGACAGATTTGATGACACATATTACAAAACCTTCAGGGAGGAGCTCGCACCTCAACTGGTACGACTTTTTGATAATCTACGGCGGGGAGGAGAATTGGATCCTGACATGTCTCTGGCCACCATCGTATTACTACCCAAACCAGGAAAGCATCCACTTTATCCAGAAAATTATAGGCCCATATCACTAATTAACCACGACTTGAAGATTCTGGCGAGGAGACAAGCGGACAGACTGAACCCGTTGTTGAACTCGCTCATCCATGCAGACCAGGTCGGTTTTATCCAAAGCAGGCAATTGTTTGAAAATACTAGGAGGAATATAGATTTCATTTGGAAACAAGTGGCTACTGGGACACCCACACTAGTGGTATCCATAGATGCAGAAAAGGCCTTCGACAGGGTCCGGTGGCAATTTCTGTTCCCAGTACTTCCGGAAGGATATTTCACGATAACGAGAGCGATGTACCACAATGTGCGGGCACAGGTGCAGATATCGGGAGCCCCACTGAACTCTTTTAAGCTATACAATGGAACCAGACAGGGGTGCCCTCTTTCCCCCCTCCTCATCGTATTGGCATTGGAGCCTTTGCTACAAGCGATACGTCGGCATCCGAGCATTGGAGGTGTTAGGGTGGGTGACAAAGAATTTACAGTATCGGCCTATGCGGACGATGTCCTCCTGACCGTTACGAACCCAATGGAATCAATGTCGGCAATACAGGAAGTCATAACAGAATATGGTACGGTATCAGGATACAAGGCAAACATCCAGAAGTCCAGTGCTCTTCCGGTCTGTCTCACGGAGGCCAATACAGCTCGAATTCGGGAGATCTACCCAATCCGGATGGAAACAGCCTCCCTGAAGTACTTAGGGATTCATTTGACAGCGGATCAGGGACGTATATACCTTGCTAATTACGTTCCCATGCTTCGAGCGTTGATAGGAGAAGGTGGGTGGAAATTGAGTCTATGATGGTGGGGGTTGATGTCCCGCAGTTTACGATGTGGGTCCCCAAGGAACATAGACCTGGAATATGGATAACTTGTCCAGCCATACTCAACTCGATCCAAATATGGGACTCGTGTAATACCAAATACGGGCTGGCATCGTCCCCCTCCCCTTTGACTCCAATCCTTAGAAACAGTGAGTTTCTGCCTGGCATGGCCCCCAGAGAATTTCGTAATATAGAAAGAACCGGACTACAACGGCTCCACCAGCGCTATCAAAATGGAGAGGTCGTCCAATTTGCAGAACTCCAACAAGGCAATCAATTAACCCCTGTGGACTTTTTTAGATATGTTCAGATTCGTGATTTCACTAGAAGACCACACATTAAAACAGCAGCCTTGGGTAGGCTAACCTTCTACGAGAGGCTTTGCCTGGATGGGGCAGCCCCCAAGGGTATGATCACGCTTTTATATGCCCACCTTAGTGCAGAAAATGGAGAATGGGGGAGACTGACATATACAGATCAATGGGATCGCCTTCTATATAATTACAATTGGGTTTTAGTACCCCTCTTTACGGAAGCCAACATCAACATACTGACTCAAATGACTGACCTTCTGGAGAAATTGTCTGACCTTACCAGTAACCCAGATGACATTCAAAATGTTTTTTCAATTAACCCATTAACCAAAAGTAACTCCAATAACATTGATATCAATGATGCATTCTTCGAAATACAAAAATCATATCAGCAACATATTAGGAGTTTTTGGGAACTAACTAGTCTGAACCAGTACATTGAACAAAAACTGGTTCCGAGAGGTCTCCGTCCAGATATATTATTACCAGACAAAATACAAACGGACGAGCAATTAAACGAATGGAATGGTATTCTATTAGATTGCTCTGCAAAATTGATGACATTTCTAATTAAGCTTGAAACCACACATTTGGAAGAAACAAATACAAAATTACAAAATGAGATTATACAAATAAAGAAGTTCAAGAATGATAGTCTCTTTTCACCTATGGAAACTAAGTTACAGAAAAATATTGAGCATTTCAGACAAAATATTAAAATAAAAAAACATACAAAATTCCAAAGGGATTTTAAAGACTTCAAAGAAGGGGAGATTTTTCGTAAAAAACGAAAATTCAAGAAAAATTTCGGCTCCCAAAGAGGTTCCACGTCTGCAGACACTGAATGGTCTGATTCAGATACAAGTTCCTCAAAGTCAAGATCGAGATATAATTATAACACTAACAATACCCGTCACAATGATCCTGTCCCCACTTATTCACCAACTAGGAGCATTCTAAAGAGCACTGATAAATCGGTTGCCTTTTTGGATGCGCCCATCAGTTCTGACACAGACAACACTACTGTCTCTAAAACTTTTTTAGGACAGGATCCCCCTCGAGAACAAAGGGGGAGATTAAGGGACAGGGATCGCTGGGCATACAAGAGACAAGGACGGGGTCAGAGGTTTTAACATCTAACAAAATTATCAATCTATCAAACTTCTCACTTCAATCGAGACATATCTCTCTTTTAAACAAAGGTCTGTCATATGTACCAACTCCAGGTCATAATAAATTTAACTGGTCAAAGGACATAAACCTTTTCGGTAGAAAACTAGCATTAAATCTAATGCATTCTAAAAAAGATCTGGTTATGGCCAACGAGTTAGGTTTATCGTTGGAGGATTATGAATTCTCTAAAATACTTACGGATTTACTAGAAGAACAGAGCAGCAATAAACCACTAACAAAATTAAAACCTCAGAGCTGGTTTACTCCGAATCTAAAAGATACCCCACATGTAGACCTTTTTGTCGAAATGACTATCAGTGACTTAGAAAAAAATATGTTGGAACATTCACCAATTAACAATCTAACCTTTAACGAACGTAAAGCACTCAAGGAATTACAAATGCTGGATGATGTCATCATAAAACCGGCAGATAAGGGTGGTAATATCGTTCTACTGAATAGAGATATGTACATTGATATGTGCATGGCACATCTCAATGATCGATCTAACTATAGCATTCTCTCTACTGATCCCACCCAGATGTATATAAAAGAACTTGAAGACTTACTTACGAAGGCAATGGAACAAAAAATAATTAACTCAGATGAATTTAAATACTTATTACCACATAAACAACCTACAATAGCCACTCTGTATTGTCTACCGAAAATACACAAAAATAAGAAGACACCTCCTGGGAGACCAATCATCTCTGGCAACAACTGCCTAACAGAAAGAGCTAGCAAATTTGTTGACAAACTATTACATCCATACGTCATCAATTTACCATCCTATATACAGGATACCAAGTCTACTTTACTAACTCTTGAAGGACTTCAGGTGCCACCATACACCCTACTAGCAAGTCTGGATGTGGTATCCCTGTATAGCAATATCCCACATAAAGCAGGCTTGGAAGCCTGCCGGTTCTTCTTAGAATCATCAACATATGAAGAAACCCAAATTGCATTTATAATCTCTCTTCTGGAGTTTATTTTGACTCATAATTATCTTATTTTTAATGGTAAATACTACCTACAGGAGACCGGAACTGCCATGGGTACAACTTGTGCCCCTACATATGCAAATTTGTTCCTGGGCTGGTGGGAAGAGAAAATGTGGAAAGACCCAAAATACAGTCTGTACCACGGATATATTTTGAAATGGTACAGATATATTGATGACATGCTCTTATTATGGACAGGTCCCGTGCAAACTTTTGAAAACTTTGTGGAAATTTTGAATAACAATCAAATAAATCTGTCACTAACTCATGTCATTGATGAGAAAGAATTGGTCTTCCTAGACTTGAAAATTCTATTAATGGAGGATGGAACTGTCCAAACAGAACTATTCAGGAAACCTACATCAACTAACAGCCTTCTCCATTGGAGGAGCCATCATCCTTACAGACTAAAGGCTTCAATTCCATATGGCCAATATTTAAGAGCTAGGAGAAATTGCTCTCAAGACTCTGTTTACTATCAGGAATGTCAGGTTCTCAAGAAGCGTTTTAAAGACTTGGGGTACCCAAACAAAGTCTTAAAAAGAGCGTACCAACATGCCAGTGAAACAGACAGACTAGCAAGTCTTAAATCTACACGTACGAAACCAAATACATCGACTCCCAGATGCATCGCCACCTTTGATAGTGGTTGGAGCAAAATGACAAAAACATTCTCCGCACACTGGCCTATACTCCTACATAACCCTATATTGAAGCAGTCATTGCCAAACCACTCTACAATCACAGCTCGGAGATCAAAAAATCTGAGAGATCTTTTAGTCCATAGTTTTCTGGCTCCAACTCCATCAAAATCAAATTGGCTCACCAATACCAAAGGAACATACAGATGTGGCCATTGTAAGGCTTGTCAATTCATTACCCCTTCTCAATCTACTACATCCACACAATCTCACATTACCATTAAAACCAATGCTTTGGTAAATTGTGGTACCACCCGTGTGATATATTTGATCACATGTAAATGTGGGATCCAATACATTGGAAAGACGTATCAACCTTTTCGCCGTAGAATTTTGCAACACATCAACTCTATTAAAAACATCATAAATCCAACACCTGTGGCAAGACACATTACGAACTTCCATCAGGGAAATGTTGATAATCTCAGGTTTCAAGCAATAGAAAAACTATTACCCAATCCCAGAAAGGGTAATTTCAATCAACAACTTTTACAAAAGGAATCAAAGTGGATATATTCCTTTAGGACCTTAACCCCACAAGGGCTCAATGAGGAGTTCAACTACACACCATTTATACACTGACAAATTATTTCCAATCTGGGTAGGTCCAAATTATTATCATTACTAATCTAATTTAATTAAATTAATTTCAAATTATCTTCAGTTTTTTGAGTCAGTACTGATCAGGATAAAAATTCCTTTTCTATGACAACATCACATGGATACTTCTTATAAATAAAAAATATAAATAAAATAAAACAATCTTTACTATTTAACATTAACAAAAGAATAATGTATACTATACTATCTATAAAAGCGCTCTTTTTATCTATTTATATATATATCTTTATGTTAGCCCTCTATAGATATTTATTTGACCTTAGTGTATTGAATAACTTATTTTCTACACTTCATTCCGTTTTATAAATATAACAGACTCTCTTCAAATCATATTAGAGAACCTTTTTGTCCTTAGCTGACCACCATACACAGTCAGCTACCCAGGCATGACGTCATTTTTGAACCACCAATCAGATAATAGAGCGCCCTATTTAAACCCCAGCCGATAGCTTCACAGTTCCCCTTGAAAAGCCGCCTTACCGGCAAAACGCGCGTCGGGGTAGTAGGAGATTTCTATCCTCCGACCTCAACCTTAGCCTCATATCATACTTTTAGATCGTACAATTTCTGTTTGGATTTACTGTAAGAATTGTAAGAATTGATCAGACTTATAGATGGGGTAGTAGGAGATTTCTATCCTCCGACCTCAACCTTAGCCTCATATCATACTTTTAGATCGTACAATTTCTGTTTGGATTTACTGTAAGAATTGTAAGAATTGATCAGACTTATAGATGGTTAGGTTGAGTGTATGCTGAGACTCCTCACTAATGGATGTTATAGTGAAGTTTAGTCTCTCACCACGTGTATCAAGACATTTTACTCATATTCAGTTTTGATTTACATATTGTAGTTAGCTAGCGCAGCTTCTTTACCCAGAAGTAGGTGCCCTCGAAGGCACAGTGAGACTCTTTCTGTTATATAGCACGATATCTATCACTCGAATTCATGTAGATTGTAGTTAGCTAGCGCAGCCTCTTTACCTTGAAGGAGGTGCCCTCGAAGGCACAGTAAGATTCTTTCTGTTATATAGCACGATATCTATCACTCAAATTCATGTAGATTGTAGTCAGCTAGCGCAGCCTCTTTACCTTGAAGCAGGTGCCCTCGAAGGCACAGTAAGACTCTTTCTTTTACACAATACGATATTGAGTCATTCGAATTCATACTATCATATTTTATGAAAAGAAACTTTATATCTCTTTAGCTGTGACCTGAGAGGTTTTGTCAAACACTTCTGGCAATAGAGAACTTTCTAGCCGTGATTTTACACTCTCTTATCTATTGAGGTATATACCAGTTAGCTGTTTTGAGTCTGACTAGACAGCACAGCTTTTTGGTTTAGAAGCAGATGCCATCGT